ATCCTATATTGTTACTTTTCAAAAAAAAAAGTCTGTAGCTAAAAATACGTACATATGTATGTATTCCGTATAAATTATAATTAATTATCAATAAAATTAAACTCTTTCAAATCCATTTCTATGAATAATAATTTAACATTCTTCATATAAAAATCTCTCTTCCACTAACAAAAAATAACTTTTTCACACATCTCCCTCGGTGCTCCAAGTAAGGCCTCTTAAACAGAAGCGATGAAGAAAATTTATAAAAATTTAATTTTTTATTAGATTATAAATTGATTCCTGCATTTAGTTTTGATATAAAATTATTAATAGTCTTCTTTTTTTTTGTAAAATTCTAATTACTCTCCATCAACTAGGTGGTGTCTGCAACACAATTTAATTCAGTAGTCGATGAAAAAGTTTTATTTTGGTTTTTAATTATAAACCACTAACAAATAAGTGAACCAGAATATTTCCACTATATACAATACTTTAAAAACAGCAAGATTCACATGAATGTACCAACTTAAACGCAGAAAGTTTATGCTTGCACATGTGTGTATGTACATATGTATGTATGTACATGCTTGCCATAACACTAAGCAAAAAAATATCCACCACAAACTGCGTTTGATTGTCATGTTATTAAATATTTGTCAAATATTGATTTATTTAACATCAAATACATATGTAAATACATATACATATATAGGTGTACATACACATATGAGCCAAACGATGCGCTACCCTCTTAACTATTAATCAACTTTACACCTACGCCAAACAACACATTTAAATTTTTCCCCCAATGAGACAATTGTACTTATGCATGTACATTTATTATGTATATACAAGGAGAGACAGCAGCCAGATCAAGCGAGCACAAGCATTACCACAAGCATTCACATCTTATCGGTGATTGTAACACCACAAACACCACCAACACATGATATATATTTATATATGTATATAAATAGATATATACATATGGATGTAGGCATCTAAAAAAAAAAGTAACAACACCAAAAAAAAAACAACGCCAACGCCTTCTTGTCGGCCGAGTGTTTTCTATAGCGGATACGTGAGTTTGCAAATAACACTACAAATTATGGTGCAATGTGCAAAAACATTTACACGCTAGCGCATAAAACATACAAAAACAAAGTGGAAACAAGAGCAGCAATAACAGAAACAACAGAAACAGCAGTGAAATTCCAGTGTTGGCAGCAATAAATAGCAAAAGCCACCACTATCGCACCGGCAATGCTCGAGTGTATGTAGTATGTATATAAGTATCTACATTTGGATATAGCGCATAATAAAACTACCAATAAAAGCTGCAATGTCATTAAATCAACAACAACAACAAGGTAAAATATTTGTATAAATTATGAAAAAAGTAAAAATCGAAAAACAATTGCTATCTCAAATGTGAGAATAATGTGAAAAAATCCAAAGACTGTTAGTGAGAATGAGAGGGAGTATGCGCATGCAATAACGAATGGATATGAACAAGAGCGAGAGCACTCGTTTGCCTTGGTGTTAACGAGTCATATGTATGCATACTTTGTTGGAACACAAAGGTATTGTTGAGCACTGCCGCTGTTGGTGCTCCAAAGAGGTGGTGAAGAAATGCAGTAGTGCGTGTGGAGTATGTTATCGAAGGGTATTGGCGGGAGTGAGGAAACGGTTTCTGAAATTTGTAGTGCATACAGCAATGCGCCAAAATGCACAACAAATAAAAACAATACAGCAAGGGGGAGCAAATATATGTAGGTACAGGTGGGTACATAGGTATGTATGTGTATGTACAATGCAAATGCTTATGCAGTAAAGGCAAAGGCGGTGCATACAGGCGGCGCCTTAAGTATGTATACCAACTATTTAAGTGAATATAAACCATTTTGAATAGATATGCGTATATAAAAAAATTTGTAATGAATAATTCATTTCATATTTAATGTAAATGATTCCATTAAATTAAGCGAGAAATATTTTGAAACTAAAAATCAAATTGATGAATCAGAATTTGTTTTAAGTTACTCGCACATACATATGTAAATACAATTGTCTTACAGATGTTGTCAATAGTAATTCAATAGTTATATCGAGACTTTTCAAATGAATTCAGCACTTTTAATTTTATTAAAAGTCGACTTAGAATGACAATTTTGTTACATTTTTAAATCCTTTTGTTGAAGCAATTTTTAATCAGCAGGCAGAAAATACAGCAATAACAGTTGATTTTGCTGAGGTGAATGGGGTGCATACATACCTCCATGAACTCAAGGAAAAATGAGACCATTGCGAAGAAACTAATAAATTGATGAAGAATGCCGAAGTAAATAAGAATCTCAATGCTTTGGATTTATTCAAACAATCAAAAAAAAAAATTAGTTAGTTAGTTAATTAGTAGAAATTTTTATAATTAAATTAAGTACAACTATTCAGAAAATTATTTATTAAAATATCTACGAAAAATATGAGCTCGGACAGCAAAAAACTAGTTTTAAAGGGTAATTTATTAAGAGTTATAGGAAAGTTTTTCAAAAAAAATAAAAAAGAAAACACATAAAATTCAGAAGAATGCATGAGATCTTTATTTGAATCTATGAACACGTTTTTTTTTAATTTAATTAACAGAGCGCGCATAATGATAAGAAAATTCAATAACTTGCAAGCGTTGTTCGTCTGTAAGACGATTCATGGTTAAATTATAGACCAAACTGAAGATGTTTGACAGGGATACCAAACACGAAACTTGCGTCTGCTGTTTAAACCAGTGTTGCCGTAAAGATAATCGGTAAAAAATTGCTCTTTAATATATAATGTATTTAGCTCTTTGTAACCGCTGAAGCGATTTTCGGCCGAGCTCCTCCTCCAATTCGTGTTTTTGCGCCTTGATGTTTTTTCCAACAAATGGAGGGACCTACAGGGGTTACTAAGCCGCCTTCGAAGGCTGAAGGTTTTTATGAGTTGATTTTAATGTCAGACACATCCTCGATGGGGTTGACATACCCTGCCGAGTGGCGATCGTATTTTGAAAATTTAACTAAATTTTTCATTTAAATTAATTTTCTACAACTTTTGTATGGCAGTAAGCAATGCTAACCACTCGGCTAGCGCATACATATTTGAATGGAAATAAAATTTAATACAATATATTCTGGCGCAGAATAATTATTATATTATTAGTTTTCTGAAAATAATTAGGTCAAGTATAAAGTTTTTATCTAAGAGATGGTGTTATTGTCCATAGTACGAGTGTTACGTGTCGCATCATGTCATACTCTACTGGGCTGTAAACGTGTTTATTCGCGCTAAAAGTTCGTTTTTGACAGTGCTTACATTGATTGATTCAGTACGTTTTGAGCTGAGAGAAAACGATAACGGGTGGTGTTATACCGATTCCTCTTCATCTACTATGTCGCAGATCGTTATACTTATGGAGGTGCAGTTTAGAAGCACTAAAAAATTAGTTCTGGTCACATCGATCAATTCAGATTTGTCTGGGCACATTGTGCGTCATCTGCTGCTGGCCGTTTTGATGAGAGAGGTATGCCCACGTCATGTGTAAAGTTTTCCGAGGCAATAACTCTTCGCATCGGCCTGACAGTTCCCTGGTATGTCCCTTAGGCCGGTAACCCAAGCTTCGTACGTTTCGTATGGAGTCGAAAACACCTAAGATGACAAGTTTCTGAAAAAAAAATTAAAAAATGTAAACTCTTTCCAATGTATTATTTATAATAAAAAGCATATAGAAATTTGTTTTCTTATTTCTGCCGCCTAAGAAACACGGCATGAAAAAAATATTTTCAAAAAAACCGTACACTAAGAAGTTAGAACCAAAAGTAATAAAAAATATCTCCAAACTGGCAAGATCAACCAGTTCTGAGCAAGCACGTTTAGTGTCAAAAATTCCGAAGCGAAACTACCTTATAGAATATTTCTATCATGATATTAAGTAAATATTTAGTTCGAAAACTCTAAATAAAAATAAAATCCATTGTTTTGAATATGAAAAAGTATAATAAAAAGTTTTTATATGTAAAATATATGCATGCATTCCGCACCATCTGTTGACTTTTACGCCACAGTGTTGCCATGTACACACAACCAACCAAAAGTCCAGTTAAAGTAAAAAAAAAACAACTCACAAAAATGCCGTCGCTAAAAATACATGCAATAAATGAGTGTCACGTCAATTGCAATTAGCGTAAACGTCAGTGACAGCGGTAATAACAGCAGCAACAGCAAAAGGCTAGGCAAGAAATTAAAGAAAAAAATCAGTAAAAGGTACATTTGATTCGCATGTAAGTTGGCCTGAAGAGAGAGAAGAAACGTTACCATTGGTTGAACGCATACAGCAACAAACTGCACCACTCACATGATCCACAACTCTCATTGGTTGAGAGGCATTCAAATGTCATGGTATTGGTAGTTGCCCTAATGGTTGCTCACTCTGCGGCATAAGCAAGCTGGCTTCCTTAATGAGTATGTTTGTAATTCTATTTGGTGGATGGGGTGGTGTTGGTTTTCACTGCGTTAATGTTCATAGAGATGGTGTGTACAGCCATTGTGAGATATGCAGTGGAACCGGTCGCACTGATCTGGCAATTACACATATGTAGATACATGCTTGTGTTAAAGCTCACTTTTCACGCACACTTATACACACACACACACGCGCATGCAAAAGCAAACAGAAAAACTGTGTATGTATGTATGTATGTATGAATGGAAACTGGTTTGCGCTCACAGCCGCTAGCGAAGGCTAGCAAGGCGTCAATTTTAGTCTGATATAAGCGACGAGTCGACATAGATGTGTTGCTGGCACGGTTTCGAGGAAATTGAGTGAATTGTGTTTAAATAAAGCAACAACAAATAGAGAAAAAGATTATTGTACCATTGAAGGAAATTAGAAAAATACACTAAGAGAATTGAAAAAAAGTGAGCTTAATAAAAAAAATTAAATAATAAAAAAAAATTAAATAATTAAGAATATAATATAAAATTAATTAATATAGAGTATTGAAATTAACATTTTACCGTTACAATATTGTGCATCGCAAGCAATTAAAATCACACTGAAAACGCCAGCAAATGCCAACGCGTGTTTGAACGCTTTCTAAGTTTCAGCGTGTGTTACGCGTATGTTTGTATTTGTAAAACAATTAGTCTACATAATAATAAAAATTACCGCAAAGTATTTGAGATAATGGTAAAAATCGCCGGCTTACCACCGATGAACGTGATCAGTGATCAACAAGCGCTTGCGATCAGCTACAGTCAGCACTTACAGCAGCAGCAACAGCAACAACTAAAAGACCAAGACTTAGTTAAACAACAACAACAAAAGCACCAACAGCCGTCGTCACCAACTACAACCATTGCCACCCACACCACCTACACGCTGGCCGAGTCCGTTCTACAGAACTCGCTGCTGTACAAAATGGCACGGACACCGCATCTCAAGTCGAACTTCTCGATCAATTCGATCTTGCCCGAAACGATGGAGGATCACCGCGAACAACAACAACAACAGCAGCAGCAGCAACAGCAACAATCGCCACAGCATTCGCCGCAGTATCAACACCATCACTTACAACAATTACAACAGCTTCCAGCTTTTCAACAGCACTGCGCCATGTATGGGCAACAAGCACATCAACAACAACAACAATATCCGCCACCACCACATGATATCGAAAAATATCGACGCGTGCCACCCACCGACTTTCACCTCTGCCACTCACCACTCGGCTCAGAGGAACCTGAGGTGTCCGACGTGGAGTCGGATCTGGATGTGACGAGCATGTCACCGCCACCGCGTACGGAGGGCAGTGAAGTGAGTGTACATAGCGTTGAGAAAGTACAACGCAAATACCGACGCAATAATGGTATTTTAGCTGGCGCGAATCGTCGGCATGCTGATGAAAGTGCTGACAGCGAGCTGGACGGTGGGGAGGAAGTTGCGGAAGCGGAGATGTGTGAAGCGGAATCGGATGGTGAGGAGTGCGAGGAGGAGGATGTCGAATGTGATGCGGAGGCTGAGAGTGAGACGCAGGCGAATAGTGAGGGCGGCGATGCTGAAAAGTCGACTGATGGCAAGCCGGTGACCGATAAGAAAGGTAATGAGAAGCCGCCATTCTCCTACAATTCGCTCATCATGATGGCCATACGACAGAGTCCCGAGAAACGGCTAACCCTCAATGGCATCTATGAATATATAATTAAAAATTTTCCATACTACGGCGACAATAAACAAGGCTGGCAAAATTCGATACGACACAATCTCAGTTTGAATAAGTGTTTTGTTAAAGTGCCGCGTCATTATGATGATCCCGGTAAGGGCAACTATTGGATGCTCGATCCATCGGCAGAGGACGTATTCATTGGCGGTTCAACGGGTAAATTACGCCGTCGCACTACAGCGGCATCACGCTCACGTCTCGCCGCCTTCAAACGTTCACTCATCGGTCCCATGTTCCCCGGCCTGGGCTATACGCAATTCGGACAATTTTTATATCCACATCAAGCTGCCGCCGCAACCGCCGCTGCGCCTAGTCTGCTCGCGAGCATGTACGGTCGTTACAATCCCTTTATGCCAAAAAGCCCAGCGGTCGCTGCAGCTGCTGCAGCAGCCGCCAGCTTACCAATGCCCATGCAATTTGCTGGCGCACCCAATTCACCTGCATCGGTTATGGCCAACTACAGCAGCGGCATGGAACGTCTCTTGGGTGCAATGCCACATCAGAGCAATCCTGCTGCCGCGGCGGCCGCCACCAGTGAACTTTACCAGCGCCTACAATATCAACAGTTGTTGCAACAACATGCCGCTGCAGCAGCGATCGCGGCGCATCAACGGCAGCAACAACATATGGCAGGTGGTGTGCCAGCACCGTCCGCACTGCATGTCCAGCATCCGCAACATCCTCAGCATCCGCAGCACCCCCAACATATGTCACATTTGTCGATATCGCCACATCAACAACAATCACAGTTGCAGATTGGCGCGCACATGACCGCTCAACCCGCCTCACCTGGCCGACCACAACCGTTATCACCATCGGCGGTTGGCGCTTTGGCAATGCCACAAGCAGTTTCAGTGGTTTCAGCGGCGATATCGCCCATACTCAAGCCCGTGACGGTTGTGGCGCGCAGCGATAGCTGAGTGGGTGAGATGTATGATGCGGCAGCAGAGGAGGCTGTATGTATATAGTTGTAGTATATGCTTAAGTATGTATGTGTATTATATAAAACCGTTGAACTAAATCATAATAGTTAATTAAAAATAAGTAAATTTGTAAAATACGCTTATGACTCGAAGGGAGCTGCGCGCCAAAACTGGAGATCTGATCAGTATGTTGATATTAACATTTCCATGCAGAGCGCTTTGACTGTAAACTTAGCAGAATTGAATTTAGTATTATCGTCATGTGTAAACTTAATAATTGGCATATAAATCTCCAAATAAGGTAAAACAAAAATGTCGAAAAATTGAGAAATTATGAAAATTGATTTTGCTTTCCAAAAAAATACACGCGATTTTTATCTGAGTATTTGTTTATGTTAAAGTATTTAGCCTAACATTTAGCTAGTAAAACGAAATTTATTCAAAAGAATCAAAACAGTGCGAATACGAAAAATAAAATTTATTTATTTATTTAAATCATAAAAAAAGTCTCTTTAATTAGCTTGGAAGGTCATGTTGAGCCATTGGAAGGTTCATAACATTCCAGAGCAAATGTTACCAATAATCGGTGCAAAGGTTAATCATTAGAATAGATTTTCATATTTTTTTCTAAGCTGCAAAAAAATGGTAAATACTGACCCAGTATTTTTTTCCAGAACATGATGGTTTAAAAACATGGAAAATAAATTTAAATATATAATAACAATAATAATATAAATGAATAATTAATAACATATAGTTAAATTAACCAAAAATATATACATATAAATTTAATTAAACAAACTAAAAACGATACAATAAAATAAAATTAAATTAAATTTAAATAATGAAATAATTAAAATCAAATTAAAATAAAGTAAATGAATTAAAATACAACAAATTTAAATAACATAAAATGGAAAATCTTGAAGTAAAAAATCTATAATAAAGTAAAATAATGAAAACACTATAATAATTTTGAATAAAAAATAAAATAGATCTGAATAAAATAAAATAAGACTTAACAAAATTATATTAAATTAAAAAAAAATATTATATTTAAATAAATTAAAATGTAAATATCAAATACAAAAAATAAAGAAATAAATCAAAGTGAAATAAAATAAATTAAATAAATTCTAACAAATTGAAAAGGAAAATAACAAATTTAAACTATTAATTTATATATATATACATATATATAATATAATATAATATATTAATAGTAAGTTGACTCAAATAAAATTAAGCTAAACACAATCAAACAAAATTATATTTGAATAAATTTAATCAATATAAAATTGAACAATAAACAAAATAAAAATAAATTAAATTAAATTAAAGCAAACGGAATATTATTAAACTAAAATAAATAATAGAAAATGTAAAAATAAAATAAAATTATATTTCAATAAATTCAATTAATATAAAATTAAACAATAAACAAAATAAAAATAAATTAAATTAAATTAAAGGAAACGGAATATTATTTAACTAAAAAAAAATAATAGAAAATGTAAAAATAAAATAAAATTATATTTCAATAAATTCAATTAATATAAAATTAAACAATAAACAAGATAAAATAAATTGAATTAAATAAAAGCAAACGGAATATTATTAAATTTATAAAAGTAGAAAATGTAAAAATAAAATAAAATTAAATTAAATTAATTGAAATAAACAAATTAAGCTAAATAAAGTAAAACTCAATTCCATCGGTTTTAAATAAATTCCAATTTAAAATTTAAATAAAATAAAATTATATGAAATTAAAAAATAAAAAAACTTTAAATAAATATAAATAATAGCAAATAAAATAAATCAATATGAAACACAAAATTAAATTGAATAAAACTAAAGTGAAATAAAATCCAGTGAGAATATATTATTTAAATTTATATAAATTAACATTAAGCTGAATGAAATAAAATTAAACTAAATAAAATTACAGAAAATCATATCTGTTTAACATAAATTAATATAAAATTAAATTATAAACAAACTAAAATAATAAAATAAAATGAAAAAACGCAAATAAAATAATATAAAATTAAAAAAAAAAAAAATAATTAAAAAATAAAATAGAATTAAATTATTTGAAATAAAATTAAGATAAATATATATATTTATATATATAAGCGCCTTGTAACCGCTGCAGCGCTTTTTCGGCTGGGTTCCTCCTCCAATTTGTGGTTTTACGTCTTGATGTTTTTCCAAGCCTCCGACCGGCTGATGGTTTTTTATGTCTAGCTTTTATTTCATGTCCGAGGGATGGACATTCCTTACCGAGTTGCGACCGCAATTAAAAAATTTAACTTAATTCTTTATTTAAACTAATTTTTCATAACTTTTTGATGTTCTTCGAACTTCCGAATGGCACTACTCAATGCTAGGCACTCGGCTAACATGGCCGCCTTAAGTGAATACAAATTAAAGATAAAAGAAATAAACAATATAAAATAAAATATACATATTTATGTATATTATTATAATACAAATTATTATTATATTTCAAATTTAAATAAAGTTTAAATAATAATTATCATTATAATGAAATAAAATACAATAAATTCAAGTTAAAATAAATATAAATTATTGAAATTAAAATAATAAAGAATTAAAAAGAATGAATAAATTTAAAATCAGTTGAATTAAATTCAAATACACCTAAAAAAAGAAAAGATTAATATAAATTAAGTTAAAATAAAAATTGCTTAAGACGATTTTAGGTTTTATTTTAAGCCGTTTTCGAACGACCAATAGAATTTTTTGAGGAGTCTTTATTTCATTTGAGAAATACAAGGGGCGTTCCAAAGTAAACAGGACTTTTTGAATCTAGCGCCCTCTAGTGGCGCCATCTATATGTGCATTATTGGCTTAGAATCTGCTATCCTTTATCGACTTCCAGTAAAAATTTCATGAAATTTCATCTATTTGAAGTGAATTTATTGCGTTTTAAGTGTCAGTTTGTTTTTGTTATCGGTGCGAAAATGAGCTTCGAACAAAGAGCCAGTATTAAATTTTGTTTTAAAATTGGTAAAACTTTTACCGAAACGTTTCAATTGATGAAACAAGATTATGGCGATGATTGCCTATGCCGTAGCAGAGTGCACGATAAATAACGATGTACATGTGGACCAACCAAAAACCGTGACCACAGAAAATTCCATCGAAACTGTGAGTGAATTCATAAAAAGTCAGCCGAAATCATCATTGAAATTCATGGAACTAGAATTGAGCATCTCCAAAACATCGATTTATCCCATTTTGACTGAACATTTGGGCTTACAAAAGGTGTGTGCACGGTTTGTTCCGCATAGATTGACTGACGACCAAAAATAGCTTAGAATTCAACATTCCAAGGGCATCATTAAGGAGGTAAAAAAAAGACCAAAAATCACATTTTAACAATCAACCACTCCCCGTATTCACCTAATATGGCACCTTGCGACTTCTACCTTTTCGGAAAAATGCATTTGCCGTTGAAAGGAAAGCCTTATGCAGACGTGGAGGCCATTCAAAATCCTTGCACCGGCATACTGGCTGCCATACCGGGCAACGAGCTAAAACACTCCTTCGAAATGCTTTTGGGGCCGTGGAAAACGCTGTATTTAAGCAGAAGGAGATTATTTTGAATAAAATTAATTGATTTTGTCGATTAAACCATTTGTTCTGTCTTTTTTTTTAAAGTCCTGTTTACTTTGTTACGCACCTTGTACATACACCACGAAGAGTAACCGCAATTAGACAAATTAATTCTCAACATTTGTGTCTTCGAGCATGTTTGGATCCACGTGCATTCTAAACGGCTGATCATACAGTCATGAAATTTCGGCATGTGGTTTGTACACGCAACCGATAAGAAAGTAGTTTTCGCGAAGTATACCCGTAGGCCAATCTGTTCGAAAAACTCGAATTATTGTTTCGATTTGTCTGAAATTTGTGTGTTTGAAGTGATCAATTTTATGAAGAGGAAGAAATTATCAATTCATATTTCTCAAAAATGTCACTGTCAATGGGCAACACTATAGAGCCACTAGTAATGACTTTCGTGCCTAAATTGGAGGATATTGGTGTGCACCACCTTTGGTTCCAATAAGATAAGTCGCAACAGGCCATATAGACTACGAAACAAACAATTTATTGTTGGGAGTTTTTGATGGGCGCATTATTTCTCGTCATGGGCCTGTTAGGTGGTCTCCAAGATTGTGCGATTTAACGCTGGACTTCCTTTTTTTTGGGTGCATAAAGTCTAAGCATATAACCCCAATTTGATTGACACCTTGGAAGAGAAGATTCGATGCCTTTTTGCTAACATACGACCCCAATGGTTGCAGAATGTGATCGAAAATTGAGCTTCTGGGCTGGAACTTTACGTTATTTTTAAATTCCATTCCTGTAATGAAATCTTTTTAAATTCATTCCTAAATAAAATCAATTTCCTTTTTCCTGGTAACATTAAATATTTTAGGCTGACGAGTGGAGTGGGATTTTTTTTGTTTATTTTATATAATTAAATAATAGTTATTATATTTAATTTAAAATAAAAGAATTTTTAATTTTAATCGAATATTGAAATTTAAAAAATTATATATTACAGTTAAAACACAATTTCCTCTTCTGTCTTTATATGACACTAAAAAAATAAATTATATATATAATTCGAGTTTTTGTAACCGCTGAAGCTATTTTTCGGAAGAGCTTCTCCTCCAATTTATGGTCTTGCGTCTTGATGTTTTTTCCAAAAAAAGAAAAAATTATGTATACTATTAGTGTACTAAAAGGAAATTCATTATTTTCGCATGAAATTGAATTTTTTATTTTCTTATCCAGCCTTATCAAATATTTAGCTCTTGTTCCATCGAAACAGTGCTTACCCATGATTTTATCGACATTTTCAACAATTTGCCTTGCACTCCGTGAAGCCTCTTTTACATCAAAATTACCGGAATGAAACCGAAATTGTGTACAGCCGCCTGGCTTACGTTTTCGCCCGTATCGAAGAAAAACTGTAAAATATAGCCAAGGCGAATTTAACAAAGTGGGGTTACTAGGGCAGCGAATTCAACTCTTTTCATTTATTATAATTAATTCGCTTCACTGTAAAGGTAGTCAAAATGTTTGTTTATGTTTTGCATGTTTGTTTACAATTTAATTTTTTATTATTTTTATTTTGAATTTCTAATTGTATAACTGTAAATTTTCAAATAAGATTTGTAGCTTTTCTCAAATAAAAGAAAGTGTTCCGATTTTTGTTTGAGTTAAATTGATGCGGATATTAATCAGTGACCAACGCAATTAGGGCAATATGCCCTTTTTAGATATAAAATAGAAGTGTTAATGTTCTATGGAATCTTCCTCTGTGACAAAAATCATTCTGCCGTCTAGTATTTGCATTTCGGGCAAAGGCATGTCTTAGCATATTCTTTGCAATGACCTGCATCTTGCATATGCGCTTTAT